TAAATTGAATATCTTCCTAATAGGGAGATTTTTTTCTTTTATATCTGGGATAATGAGTTATACAACCCTTCTCTACTCATTTAAATTTTAAATTTAAGATTTATAATATAAAAATTTAAGTTACAATAACAGGTCATTTATTATAACTTGAGTTTTATTAAGTATTTGTAATAAAATTTTTGAATTTAATAAAAATAATAAAATTTAAAGAAAATTAAAAAATTTTGACAATTAAAATATTAAAAAATAATTAAAAAAATGTTATGCACTAGTAATCATTAGTAGATTGATAATGTGTATCAAACACTTTAATTCATATCACGATTCAAATCCTTATTAAGACAATAATATTTTTCATTCCCTTAAAATTTCTCCTTGTTCAAAAGAAAAAAAAAATATTTTTAATAAATTAATAAAAATATCTATTAAATATATTTAGATAATGAGAGTTTATTTTATAATTTAAATTCCACTAAACTGTAAATAAAAAATTATTAAATAAGATAAAACTTTATTTAATTCGATGATTATAACTATACAATTTAATATAATTTATCCTACACAATATTTTTGTATACATAATTTTAGAAAAAATTTTAATGTCTTTTCAAATAAAAATACAAAACAAAACGAAAAGTTTTATTATTTAAAGTTTTAATACCCAATTTAATCCCTAAACTTTCATTTTTGCATTTTATTCATCCTTTAACTTCAAAAATCACCTAAATCATCCTTAAACTTTATTTTTCCGTAACCCAAATAACTCTTCCGTCAACGGAAGTGCATACACATTAAGTCTCCACCGATTAGCTCTCTTACTTTTCGTAAGATCATACGGGAAAAACACCACGCCCAATTGTTGACATGCAAACAATGTCATTCCACGTCACACTCCCGCCACTCCTCAGATGCCAAACCCAGACAAGACACTTTTCTTTCTCTCGTCGGTACGTAAGAATTTCTTGCTGCTTCAACGATCATGAATTTAAACTTCAATCTCAATTCGAGAAATCACGATTTTATATGAATTTTTTCTTTTGGGTTGCAGGAGTGTCGGCATGGCTAATAGCTCCTTCAAGCTGCCACATCATCTCGTTTTAATTCTCTTTTCTTTTCTTTTTTTTTTCCTTTTTATGTTAAGAATTAATGTTCTCATGGCTGTTTCGTTTGTGGGATTTTGTTGATTCTGTAAAACCTTGACTTTCTTGATGTGGGTTTGTTGATTTAGGGCAATAGCTTGGAAATTTTCCCACAAAGTTTCTTTTTTCCCTTTTGTATATTTCAATTGTGATGAATGCTTTTTGGTATGATCTGATGTAAATTAATTAATTAATTGTATTCAATATTTTCAGTTTGAGGGAAGGGAAAAGTTTGAATTTTTATCATTTATTTTCATTTTTAAGGTTTGGAATTATAGGATGGTTCTCTCTACCTGAATCCGGGATTTGGTCGAATCCCATGCTCAAAACTTCTGGAGAGAACTGACATTTTGCTATTTCTTGATTTTTTTAAAACCCATCCAGAGATTGATGCGAAATGGGTTTTCTTGTATGGAATCACTGTTTTGATGTAATTTGGCTGGTTTTTGATTTTTGTGTATTGGTTTCCTCATTGTCGTAAAATCCAATGATTTTTCTCTGCTAAATGCGGATATCCATATATATTTGAAAAATATAATTTTCATTGAAAGATTATAGATTATTGTGCTATTCTTGCAAATGGTTTTCCTTTTTTATGTAATAAAATTTGTATTCTTTCATGCACTAGAAAGGAGGCAGGCAGAAGCAGCTCGCATTAGAAAGAAGTATCCTAATAGAATACCAGTATGAAATGTTCATTGCTATTTATGTACATTTTTTTTTTTTTTGTGGTCTTTTTCCCTATTTCAAATGTCAAGATATTAATTTTTGCTGTAGGTAATTGTTGAGAGGGCTGAGAAGAGTGATGTGCCTAACATTGATAAGAAAAAGTTAGTTTTGTACTTATTTTGACAACTTAGCATATTATGGCTTCCATGCTACTTGGTTCCTAATTATTGTGATTTATCTGATACTATTAACTGATGTTATATTTTCTATACACTTAAACTTTAGCGTTTTTAGATTCTTAGATTTTGAATTCTTTTTACCTTTGCTCAAAGTATGTGCCCATTTTTTATTGATGAATGGGTTGCTGTTTGTTAATAGAAGTAGTTCATGCTTGATGTGTTTCTTGTTTTGAAAGTACTTTTAATTTTTATATGTAGTCTCAAAACTTGTAGGTTATTGATTCCAGTGGTTTTAGCTAATGAAGATTTATATATCCTAGCTGAATAAATGCTTCCACATGATGGTGCTTTGACGGGTAGGATGGCTAGTATTTTTGTAGGTGATACCTGTGTGTTTCAGGATTTTCTGCATAAAAGGCCACTCCCCAGAGTAGGGCTTCTGCCTTTTGTTTGTGTCAGATCTATGGTTTTGGTTTCATGTCAAACAATGCTTTAGTAGGGATCATTTCTAGTTGAAAATGATAATGATGTCTTTATAGTAGATGTATTTGTAGACGATGTTTCTAGAATTTTAGAATTTGAGATTGATGTGCTTTATTTAAATTAATTTAGCAATCTACTGTTTGTTGACATGAACTGTAGTTGCCACAATTTAGCAATCATATTCTTTGGTAACCTTTGCTGTCATTATTCAATGATAAGTTGGTTTTCTGGTTTGAGGAATTGCGGATCCTAATTCATGCTTAAATATCTCTATATTGTAACATGATTTACTTTTTAAATTCTTTCTACTAATTCTGCATTTCCAACCTTGAACATGCTACTTTGTTTCAATTTTTATGGGTTGTTGCTTGCTTAGAAAGTGTAGGAAAATGAAGAGAAAATGAGCTTTTATTTTTGTTTAAATTTACATTTTTTTA